GACGTAATCAATCTTACACAATATACTCAAAAGCCAGAGAGAATTTTGTTTCCTCACTCATTCTGCCTTAGAGAGAGAGAGAGAGCACTGATCCCTTCACTTGTTGTCTAGTGTATGTGTGGGGTGAGAAGTGTGGAGTTTACTATGCAAGAGAGGAGAGAGAGAGCGCTTTAATTCCCGTAATCATTGTTAGACAAACCGGCTGGGTCGAACCCGTTCGACCCCGCGGGGTCACCCAGATGTGGCTCATGCGCAAGTCTAACTAAACCCGGTTTTGGGGGTGAGTTCCTAATTTTGAAAATAATTAAAAGAAATTATTAAAAAATACAAAACTAAGAAATTTACTTGTAATGTGGTTTCATTTATATATCATTTTGACAAAGATTGAAAAGTATTTTTTTATCATGAATACTAATTTTTATATTTTTTTGAGATTTATTTCTAAAATACCTCTGGGGACCAATACCCAGTTCAGACCCATGGCCGGGCACGCGGGCCCTTAATCAATGCTTCCTTATATTCCTTGTCCGCACAGGCTCACCATTTTTATCACGTGAAACGTTGCCAAACCCACCATCACTTCACTTACATCTTACCCACTCCCTTTTTCCTATTGAGAGCACTAAACCCCTTTAAAACCACCATCGCCATCTCTTCCTCCTATCTCACCCTTATCGCTTCTCTCTCTTCTCTCTTATCTCTTCTATGTTTCTCTCAACATACACATACGCATACGCATACACATACACATACACAGTTACGAGATGATGAATGTAGCAACGTACTCTCAGCGTCCCCCAGAGCACCCTGCAACTTTACCAGATCTTAAGCTATACCAGGCTTTAATATTTTCAGTTCCCATTCTCTTCACTATCATTCTCATGCTCTTGTTTTACATGCTTTACTTAAGGAGGAAGAACTTCAACTCCCAAATGCAACCAACCTTCTCAAATCAACCCACTGCTGTCCTTTCTTCTGTATATGCTCTCTCCGTCTTTGTTTTTCCTTTTATTTTTTCTATTTTTTTCTTTAGGATACCAAATAAGGGTTTCAGCATCAAATTTGGTTTAAGAAGGGGTTGTTAAATAATTATGGGCTATGTTGATTGAGCCTTTCTGATTGTTAGTATCATTATTTTTTTTTTTCAAAAAAAAAACCCTTAGATGTTCGATTTTTTGGTATCTCCTTGGGCTTTTTTTTAGTTAACAATTTGTTGGTATTTGTTTTTTTGTGTATGCGCAGGCTGCAGATTTGGGGGCGAGCAAGGAATTGATGGGCTTGCTCCCAATAATTACTTTTAATAAAAGCCTCACAGTCACAGATACTGAGTGAGTATTCCTCTACTAACTCACCGAATTCATCTTAAAATTTCATTTATTTACCAAGTCACTTTATTTACTAAGTCTTTAGGTATATTAAATTTGCTAATAAAAACTTCAAAAAAATAAAATAAAACAAATAGAACTATGTATGTGTCTCAAAAGAATCAGGGATTGTATATTGTGAGATCATTTATTTTTTATATTAGGAAGTCACAATCACTCTTAGCCATTGGATGTGAAATCCAATAGATGAAAGTGTGCTACAACATTCAAGAATTTTTGTTTTGGATTTTGTGCCTAAACTATGCTACATCCTCAACACCCGATTTTTAATGATAATTGTGATTTTCTTGTATAAAAAATAAATAATTATATATATTTTCTAAAAAGTCTATACAATGCACCATGTTGTATTAGATTTCTAATGACACCATTTTGGAGCAGTTTTCGTACAGGTCACGCTAATAGATAAAATTTTCTTATAGATATACACCATTTTGGAAGTTTAGGGATGGAAATAGATTTTTCAGGTGATCGTACAAGTTTTTGACATCCAAACTATATCTTCTGGTAGGTTTTGGAGGTGCCTTTTACTTTGATCGTTTAAGGTTGATGCTTTGTACAACACCGAGAAAATAGTTATGACCGAGGGAATTAAATGTGTGTGAATAGTTACTCTTGGTACAAGAAAGTCATCATTATTATTTACGATTAGAAGTTAAATCACTGGCTGCTTTTGTGTCATTGAATAAGCACAAAGTCCAAAATAAAATTTTTAAATTATGTGAAACATTAAAGTTGTCAGGTTTTACATCTGATAGCTAAATGTGATTGTAATCTTTCTGTACCAAAAATGAATGGTTTAGTAATGTATAATTCCAACGAATCCCTCGAGTACACCAACTAGCTTTCCTCTACGGTAAATACCCAATGTCTTAGATTGAGTTTGGATCAGTCAGGCACCATATATTTTGTCATAGATATTTGTTTTTAATTTTGGAAAAATAACTCTTTGTCCCTTATCTTTTCTTTTATATCTCATAAGACCCAAGGATTGAAAATGTTATTTGTAAACACAAAGCCTTCATCTTTTCTATCTTACAACCCCCTGAACCCGTTTGACCATGAATTTTTTACCTAAAAAAATACTAAAAGATTACCCTCTCCAAAAAAAAAAATTTCCCATTAACATTCTCTCTCAAATCACCACCTCTCTCTCAACTCCATCTCTCTCTAAAACCCAAAATTGTAGATAAGTTCTCCTATCTACATCGTCTCTCTCCTCTCTCTCTAATAAATTATCTCCTCTCTCTACATCAATTCTACATATCAAAGTACGATACTGACCGTACCGATTTGGCATAACATTTTTTTGAAGAGGGGAATATTTAGAGAGACGATGTAGAGAGGGGAACTTTTCTGTAACTTTGGGTTTTAGTGAGAGATGGAGTTGAGAGAGAGAAAACGTTAACTGAAAAAACAAAAAAAATTGGGGAGGGTGTTATTTTAGTATTTTTTTTGGTAAAAAATTCATGATCAAAGGGATCTAGAGGGTTATAAGATAGAAAAGATAGAAACATTTTACTTACAAGTAATATTTTCAATCATTGGGTCTCATGAGATATAGAAATCAAAAATAGGGGATAAAGAGATATTTTCGCTTTAAGTTTTATAGAAAATATATCAAACACAAAATTTGGAACCATTGCATATTTTATCGAGGCGCATCCAAATAGAAGACTAAAAAAATATTTTTATAAGGAAAATGACCAAACTACTACCGCCTTTTCAAAGGGCAGTTTGGTCATTTTTTGGATTTCAAAATAAAATTTTAATATTTTGTTTGAATGTGTCGTACTGAATTAGGTAAAACCTAAAATTTTATGTTGATCCATATAGAAAATAAAAACAAAAGGGAAACTTTTCCCTACAGCATAGAAGATCTCTGCTTCCCCTCCTACCATCCAGCCATCTAATTTAAATCAAGAGAGCCACTCACCGTTTGATCTTAGATCCGATATTCTAAAGTATTTTATTTTTAATTTTTTTATACAAATTGTATGAATATGAAATTTGGCACGTGCCATCTTCTCATTGGTGCACACCTATAAAAATATTAAAAGTAATTTTTCAATAAAATACAATTACCAAAATACCCCTTGAAAGTTTTAGGGGTATTTTGGTCATTTTTTATTGGAAATGTTTTTTTATATTTTTCGCTAGTGCGAGTTTAATAAAGGATTGGACATCCAAAATTTAGTGTCAATATAGTTTATAGAAAAAACTTAAAAATAAAATAGTGTAGAGAAGTGACATTGTGATTAGGGCAATCTTAGCCCTCAATTCAAAATGGACGGTTGGATAAGGAGAAGTATATAAGTTTTATGTTGTAGGGGAAGTTGCCCAAAACAAACCATCACGCAATACAGGATATCGGTTTGCCAAAGTTTTGATGTCAACCATTTGGCGTTTGCCCTCTTGGGGCCATTTCTTTAATATCACTTTTATAATCTTTTCATTTTGAATAGTCTAAATCAATGGTTTAAAAAGCGGATCGGTGACCCGGATTGGGCACCTCAAAAACTGATCCGAATCGGCGAATCGACGATCCGAATCGGGAATCGGCTGAATCGGTCGGATTAAAGCTTCAAAAAAATCTGAAAAAATTATTAAAATTCATTATAAATGTTGTTTTTTAGGAATCCAATAAGAAATGAGGATATTACATTATTAACTTTCATTTTTTTTCATCAATTTGTGAATATTGAGATGCTCTTTCATTGTATAAACTTAAGTATTAAATTTGCATCACATAAAAGAAATATCATAGAATTATCATGGATAAAATATATAATTATACATGGACTATAATAAAGAGTAGACTAAATCAATGAAAGAATGACCATTAAAATCTTGTTTTGGCAAAAAACCCTAATCTGCTAAAAAAAACTCAAATTATTATAGCCTAACTAACTATAATCCAAAATTATTACAACCTAACTAATTATAATATCATATACTGAAATTATAATTATTAGTTTACATTTTATAATTATTTTATTAGATAAATAATAACAAATTAAAAATATTTTATAATATTATCTAATTTAAAATGTATTATTGACAACTGTAAGAAAAATAGTACATTACATGATTTATAATGTAAAAATCAATAAATAAAATAAAAGATTTAGTTATCAATGTAAAAATTAATAAAATACGTACAATTTTAGAAATAACAATTTAATTTATTATATGCTCAAAGGGAACAAAAGCCCAAAGGGGAACAAAAATTAGTTCAAAAAATCAAAGGGATAAACTATTATATAGCTCAAGGGGGATTCTAACTTGAGAAGTCAAAACAAATAACATTAGTGATAACCATCATGCCTCCTTAGCATATGTGTTTAAAATTGCCTATTAATAGCATATATTTACATTATGTTTTCATTTAATGATGTTTGAGAATTATCTCATATCGAATGATGAGTATTCAAATATGCTATATAAATAACTATGTAATTGGAAGTTAAACACAAGTGTGAAAACACTAGGACATCTGTGCACATGTACGGGTGCATGTGCATGTCGCATGTGTGGCACATGTGGGAGTGGTGTGTCGCACGTGTGACACATGCACACGTGTGAATGTGTTTTTGAAGCCTGAACCGGTTAGAACCGGTGCACATGTGCACGAGTGCATGTGCGTGTCGCGTGTATGGCACGTGTGGGAATATGTATGGTACGTGTGGGAGTGGTGTGTGACGCGTACACACTTGTGAAGGTGCTTTTGAGGCTAAAACCGGAAGGGAACCAGATAGAACCGGGTGGGAACCGACGGTTCTGCTCTAGAACCGAGTGGTTTCCGGTTTTGTGCTGGACTCGGCACGGATTATGCCGATTCTTGAGTCGAACCGGACGACTCGCCGATTTTTAAATCATTGGTCTAAATTAATACATTTTAAAAGTGCACTTCAAGAAGTGTTCTTTGAGCCCAATGTATATAGGAAATCGTCAAACAGGACGACTCGCTGATTTTTAAATCATTGGTCTAAATTAATAAATTTTAAAAGTGCACTGCAAGAAGTGTTCATTGAGCCAAATGTATATAGGAAATCCATTTGATAGGAGGATTAGATCTAGGCCTTTGAGGGTTTTTCTATCTCGAATTTTGTAAATCGCCTTCAATCATTAGATGAATAATTTTAAAAAGAAAAAATAAATTTTGAGTTCTTAAAGGCCTAGATCTTAATAGTTGGTCTAGATTCATTGTTAAGGAGACACTCATTTTGACTTCTTCTAGGATGTAAATTAAATTTTTTTTTTCATTTTTTGATTGATTGTTAGGACGAAGAACAAAATTTCAGGTTATATAAGCGCATAAACATAGTTTTTTAAAAAGGGCGGTTCATTATATTATAATGAAATGGTGATATGAGAACACTTATCATATATGCACGTATATAGGAAAAGTATAACACCAAGAGGCACCTTCCCAAAGGAATGAATTACCATGGAAAAAGTATGGCTATAATTGCAATACATTTTTAAATTTTGATTGTTTCCATACAAATTGGATTGAATTGAAAATTTTGGACATTCACACTTCTCAATTAGGCACACCAAGAAATAAATTAAAATTATAAAAAATAAAGTAACTTAAATTCAGTTAATTTATTTTTTTTGAATCTCTATTTGATATGTTTTAGGTGCTCCTAAGTAACCTTCAAAATTTTATTTCAATCCAAATATGTATAGAAAAATAAAAACAAAATTACCACATACAATTGTGGTTGTGCATACTCTTCCCTTCTGACCCAAATTGTTCGAGGGTGCATATACACTATTTTATATGAGAAAAATTTATCAAAATATCCACGAGAGATGTATTATTTAATATTTTACTATATTTGCATTTATTCCAACTCATGATCATGTGCACCTTAGTGAAAATTTTGAAATTAAATTAAACTATATAAAGTATAAAATAGTTCATCTCTCATAAGTAAAAAGATAAAATTTCCATTATTTTATTCTAAAGTGCACCATCGATTTTGGAAATACTTTCTCTAGAAATGTGGCAATAGATAGCTTTTATACTAATTTAATCTATCCATATCTTTTCCTTTTTATCAAACTAGGGGGGCATTGAGAGTCATCTTGAACAATTGTAATTATAAAATTTAGAAATCTCCACTCACAAAATTTTGATAATAGGTTCCCTTATTTTAATTAAAACTACCCATGCCTTTTCCTTTTGTCAAATCAGTGGAGGGAATTGACAAACTTATCTGTTTTGTACTTGCATTTTTGGTGATCAAAAGGGCAATTGGAACGGTTTGTTTTGAGGAAAGATTTCAAGAATCAATTGCGATAATTGGTTTGTCAATTTGATGAAAAGATATAGAGAGGAACTTTTTAATTTGTGAAAGGTTTTCGATAAGTCCACCCTGTCCACTTTGGTTTTCAAGGTTTTAGGACCCAAAACACATCACCCTGAATTCATTACTAAGATCCATGAATTTGTAGCTCCAAAAGTAGTGTAGATACTGTGATTTTTGAAAATTTATATGAACAAGCCGTAAAAAAATGGTATAGATCATTCTCAAGGCTCAAAATTCATTAATGATTATGGTGGATGTGATAGAGATGCAAAGTTTTCCACCCTAAATTCATCTCCAATATGGATTTTGGGAGGTGGACCAACTAGAATTGGGGCATGCAAGGATTTATCAAAAAGAAAGAATACAAAGAGATCATAATCACTCCTAGCCATTAGATCCTAGCCATTAGATGTCAAATTGAATGGCTTCGGATAAGTAACGAAGTTCAAGAATCGATGTCCAATTGAATGGCGCGAGATGACCTTGTCTCATCCAACAATAAAGTCTTCATTTCATTTCTATGTAGAGATGAGATGGCCATGTCATGGCATAGATTTTTTGGACTTACATATTCACAAATTTTTGCTCGCTTATTGCTAGAAAAGGGCCCTTGACAGGGGGCTTTGCCAATTGGAGGTTGAATTAGAATTGGAAATTTCCACTTTCGAAATCTAAGTAGAAAATAAATCAAAGGAAGAAAAAACAAAGACAGGAAAATGAAAAAACTATAAAAGACTATGAATTGGCCGGAGTTCAATTTCGGGAGGGACTTGAATCGCTCGACTCCTAATTCTTACTAAATTGGGGTTCCTAGTCGGATCACCGATTTTATAAACGCTCCCAATTCCGATCAAATCGCCATAGTCAGATTACTGATTTTCCAAACCCTTTCACGCTTCAAATACTCTCGAGTAACTACCTGTTTTTGTGATAGCATATGTGTCCTTCAAGCACACCACAATCTTTTTTCTTAATCATGTTTACTGTTTCTTTAAAAAAAATTGAAGATGCTGTGTGTGCCTTGGAGAGTACCAAAACAATGAGCAGCTACACCAGATCCCCTTATGCAGGCATACATTTCACAAGGATTGCATCCACCATTGGCTTGTTGACAACTCCACATGTCCACTGTGTCGAGGACCACTTCTTCCATCTAACAAGGCTCAACAGACTGTCGAAGTTTCATGTGTGCTTAATCCTAATGGAGGCAATGTTTCCATAAATCCCACAAATGGAACACAAAATCTCGTAGACAATCGGATTGTTATACGAATTGTGGAACATGACATGTGAAGTTTTGATATTAAAAACAATCTTGGAGAAAAAACCAAATTTATTTCTATTGTGCATCAAGTTTACCATTGTCAAGCATGAATCTTATTTGGTTTGTTTAATTTTTTCATATTGATATGGCCCTTGATAGAGTGAAATAGTAAAATACGATTCATATAACCCATCCCAAATAGCTTGAACAAAGCTCGGATGCCAAATTCTCAATAGAAGTTTATGAACTAATCACTATCGGTTTGCAACACCAAGGACCTAATCATTCTTTTGCATGCAAAACTAGCATGATGACAATATCATGAAAATAATAGCACGGTAAACAATCTAACAGATAAGAAAAAAGTTTATATGAGGATGCAACCTTATAATATAGAACTATGGATGCACCTCAAAAATCCATCAAAAAAGGTAATATTAAAAACCTTTTGATTGATCATCTCGACATCGAGATGTATGACCATGAAAAATAAAAAGATTTCAAGTCTCAGAAATAGTGCGTTTTACAACATATTATCTACACCGTCCATTTTCAAAATTTTCATATGTTTATTAGATCTACTTGATTTTAACCATTTATGAAATTTAAAAATTTATTATTAGAGATAAAAATAGATTTTGAGATAATCCTAAAAACATTTTATATCAAAATTATATACCATGATAAAATTTGAAGGTGCACCTTACCTCTACAGCTACGGATGCATCCGTGTATGCCAACTGCACTGCACCCGACAGATAATAATAATGAAAATAATAATTGACGTTAGTAAGCGATTTCCTATGAAAACCCCATCCACTTGTGTTAGAGTAGTAACTTTGATCAAAATAGTATGCATTTCTATCAATTTTAACCATCATTTTCCTACTCATATCAGTGTGTCAATTAACCATCATTTTTCTACGCATAAATGAGTTTTATTTTGTTGTGCCACAAATTTACATAATTTCAATGACACACACTCTCTCTCTCTCTCTCTCTCTCTCTCTCTCTCTCTACTCTCTACTACTACTACTACGTACGTAACGTACTTACGTACCGTACCTACCGTACGTACCGTACGTACGGTAAACCGTAACGTAC